CTGGACGGTGATATGGCAATTTCTGAGGAAACGCGTAATACCGAGAGCTGGAGGATGCCAGTGTTTGCCTCGGACGTAGGGGTTTGGGTTTTTTTGAATCAGGAGGCACCAGAAGCAAGCGGCAAGGACTCCGGCTCCGGTCCCTCGCGTTTCACCCGCATAGTTTGGCGCTTGCGTCACGGCTGGAGAGGCGTTGGGCTCGGAGGATTCTTGACAGTCGATGACATTGCGGTTTCAAACCCGAGGAGTCACGCGCAGTTCAAAGACAATATTGACACTATCGTCAGCGGGCTGGGGCTCGCTCGGTACAGGCTCAGTGGAAATCTCCATCTGAGCCGCCGGTGCTGCCGCCGACGCCGGGAGAAGGTTTGTTTTCTGTCGAGCTTTTCCTCTTTGGACTCTTCTACCTTCTTTGGCTTGTTCTGCGTGTATTTTAAATTTAGTTTCCCCATGCCGCCTTTCGCTTTGGCTTTGAGTTGGGGTTTGGGTTTGGGGGGTTTTTTTCCCCCCCTGGGGTTTGCCGGGTTTTTCACCAAAGCGCGTCGAAACGTCTGGGAAGCCGCAAAATCCATCAGCGAAAGAGCGGCTAATAAACTCTTACGGTTCCAAAACGCTTGACCGAAATTAGTTGGGATGAAAGTCTTCCGTGGATTTAACGCTCTACGGTTTCTAGCGGAGGGCAGCTTCTCGTAGCAAGCTGCGAGGAGATGAATAATCTTCGCCATGTCGTCAAAGCGTTCAACCTCCCACCAGCTCTGAGGTTTAACGATGAGATCTGAGCAGCCGGGAGAGAAAAGGTAAAGGATAGCAGGAGATAACGAAGCGGCAGAACAACCCCCAAGGGGAGCGAGCTGGAAGGACGTAACTCAGCTGCTATGCAAAGAAAATGAGGATTATAACGAAGAACCCGGAGCCCGAAAACACACGTTCTGCAGTGACCAAACCAGCGCTTCAATCAAACGCTTTATTTCCGTGAAAGTGATTTTTTTTAAATTTTTTTTTTTTTTTAACTCCCCCCCCCCCGCCATGTTTTCGGGTAGAGCTGAACAGGAAGGAGAGGGAACAGATGCGCTGCGTCCCTCCGTCTTGTTTCTCCTGGGTTTTGTTTTGGTTTTTTTTTTTTTGCAAGGAGAAGGCTGAAACGGGTTAACTCGTGCCCGTCGGAAATCCGGACCTACGGCTGGGTGCGTATTTTGCAGCGTCCTCCCCCCCCAAAATATGCCGGGTGCCGTGTAAACACCCACAACCGCGCTGCCGCTCAACGCCGTCCGTGCCAAATAGTTTTACTGATGGGACGCAAAAAACAATGTGCAATTGTAGGGCTTCCCAGCAGTGCCGTTTATTTAAACAGAAATATCTTTCTTCCCCCCCCAGATTTCGCTGTGAAGGAGGCGCTTTTCTTCCCCAGGCATTTATTCTGGTCCTCTATGCAAATTTTTGGGAAAACCTCGTTTGCGTGAAGCCAAACCGAGCTGGAAATCCTCCGTGGGCAGAGCTGCCTTCGCATCCCTGGAGGCGCGATAGCAATATCACGTTTTGCGGATAAAGGTGTTATAGTTATTTGCCATTTTTTCCTTAGATATAATAGTGAATATATAATATATAGTGGGAGGATACCACAGGTATATATAGGAGGATTGCCACCAAGCGTTCCTGCCCGCTGTTTTAAACCGTTCGGAAGCTCCGAAGAGCGTATTTTAATTGGGATTCGATAACGAAGCCTCACCGATCCCGTGTGAGCCAGCCGTCATCTCTCCATAAGCTCCTTATACTCCACACTGTCTTCTTTCTTCCCCCCCCAAAATCAAAATTTTCCTTGTTTGAAGAGCTTGGAGATACATTTTCTCGACTTTTTTTTTTTTTTTGTCCCTAAAAATGCAATTAAGGAAAATACACTGATTTTTTTCAAACCTTTACTTAGTGGCTACCGCTCGGTGGGGGGAGTTAAATCAGAAAAGCTTCGAGGGACGTGCAAGATTTGGAAATATCTCGGAGGAGATTGGGGAGTGTTTGCTAGGGGGAAAATTAAAAGGATTTAGGGATAATGGCATCTTCCGCAGCGCGTTTTGGTGGCGTTTCTGGGTGCTTCCCTCCCGTAGCCAGGCGGTGCGTGGGGAATCGTTCTAATTAAAATCTTTGCAAATTAAAGCAATTTGATTTTACGTTTTTGGCTTTTCGGTGGTGGAAAGAGGGAAATTTGGCCGTCGTGGGAGGCAGGACTGAAAATTCGGCTGTTGCTTCGCGCACAGCCTTAAACAGCAAGACTTTGGCTGTGCAGAGCATTAAGGTTGATGGTTGGTTGTTTGGGATTTTGTTTTGGTTTTTTTTTCCCCAGAATAGCTTAAAATGTAAATATTTAGAAAGTAGCATTTCCTTGTTAAGTACCGGTTCTGAAGTATTTCTGGGGTAGCTTAAAGAAATGGACTGTATAACGGAAAATCCCCGTAACGTGGGATCCGACGGGCTTATTCAGAGTTCAGATTTGTAGCAAAGCTGTAGGATAAAAATCTGATGGACCCACTTTGCTAAAGATGCAAATTCAGCCCCAAAAACCCCTGTAAAATGTGAAAGGTGGGGCATTTTGCCCTTTTTTTTTTTTTTTTTTTTTTTTTTTTTTTTATTCTTTTTGT